AAACTGGTAAGGAGTTATTATAGCCATGGTTTAAAGGTGGGGTTGCTGATAAGATCAGGGTGTAGGAAAGGCTTGTGCTGCTTTAATACCCTCTCAGGTAGTCTCCTAATCTCCCAATCTTGATGAGTTTCTCTGGTTCCTTTAATCTTGCCTCAGGTGGTTTCTTGATTAGTCCTCCCTTGTCTCTTCATCCCCTCCCTTCCCCTGTTACTATTTGAATTTGCCCTGTGGGTCTCAGGAAAGTTCATGGAATCTGAAGGCTGTTCCCTACAAGTAAGTAATGGGGGAGAGAAATGCTTCCATGCTCAGAAGCCCCACAGGGTCCTGCTTGGTTTCACCTGTTATGTGAATTGTTTCTCATGTGGACAAAGAATGTTGCCTATCATTCCAATAAAGAACAAATATACCCACCATAAGATATCAGCCACTGCAGTTGCCCCCAGACAGTGTACCCTGAGGGGAATTCAGGATGGAGAAAAACAGAAAACATTCTGTGCTTCTTACAATTTTCTTAGATAGTCAAGAGGCAACTCTAAGGAATAATTTCAGTAAACCCAGATTCTTGCATATTGTCACCTGGTGCAAAGAGCCGATTCATTGGAAAAGCCCCTGATGCTGGGAAAGATTAAGGGCAAGAGGGCAACAGAGGATCAGATGATTGGATGGCATCACTGAACCAATGGACATGAACTTGAGCAATCTGCAAGAGATAGTAAAGGACAGGGAAGCCTGGCATGCTGCAGTCCATAGGGTCACCAAGAGTAGGACACAGCTCAGAGACTAAACAAATACTCTAAAATCATTAACTCAACAAATCTGTTTTTGTGATTAGCCCTAATCTTTTGATATTCAACTACATGCTTTCCCCCTTCTTCCACCCTGGCCCAGCAAAAACTCCTACATATCCTGGTCTCTCCCTTAACTCTTCCAGGAATTCTTCAAAACTATCTGGGAAGCTGTGTCCCCACCTATAGTCCTTAGTAAGATCTCTGAGTAAAACTTAACTTGTAATTTCTAGGTTGTGCATTTTCCTTTAGTAGACACTCAAGTAAATTTTAAACTAACTAATATGCCATTGAAGCATATTTGGAGATGGCCCTCCCTGGGCACCTTGTCTCTCACAGAATTCTCCTGCATTCTTTTCTTTTGCTACTCCCTCTGTTTCTCTTGTGTCTCTTCACCTCTCCCTGACTCAAACTGACTCAGGGGTTGAGATGCGATGACTGAGAGCAGACGTGATGGACAGTTTCTTTAGTTAATTTCCTTCACAAAAGAACAAAGGTACAACTTCTTTAACCATTTACACATTATATTTGTCCTGTTTGAGGACATAGGTTTGCCTGTCTTGTGATCTAGTCCTGTGTCCACTTCATGTCTTCAGTCAGATTCACCTTTATGAGTACCTTCTTTTCCACACATTATGTAACTAGGAAAACAGACATGATCAAGAGACCTGACTCAAAAATAAATGAGAACCTGCATAAAAGACTGTGCTTCCATACAGACAATCTGAAAAAGGCAGACACAAAAGGTGTTAAGCAGATAAATGTCAACACATGGAGGGAAACCAAAATGCCTCATATATGAAGGAGAATCAGCCCTTCCTATTTGGTGCCAGTAAAGCTGAACCCATTGAGAAACTACCCATGACTCCTGGGTAATTGGTGTGCCTTTCTCAGCAGCTGATATTATTCTTGTACGGCTTATTTTCTCTGTGACTCCAGTTATTAGTTTAAAGCTCCATGGATGGAGACATTCACTGGTACTGCATGGACTTAGCTCCCTTTGATGGAGTAAGTACATCAGAGTCCAGGAGATCACCACAATAAAGGGTATGGTGGGCAAGGGAAGCCAACTATATGCCTCTGCCCACAACCATGAGAAGTCTGAGGGTGGTAGAGACCTAAAAGGGGTTTACAATGGCAGGACTGAAGCCTTACGCTAAAGGTCTGCTGAGAGAAGCTACAGCGGTGTACCCAAAAGAGAGGTGAACTGATTTAATCAGTAGTTTGTTGAGATTTTCTCAGAAATTACTGGCATGGATCCAAGGGCAGATCAAAATTCCTCTTGACTCAGGTTTGTCTTGGCTCTCTTACTACATATCAAAGCCCACATTTAGGGAAAAGGTGATAGGAAGGCAAGGAGAGACTATTACTCAAATTTTAGCAGCAACTACTCAGTTGGGCACAATGTAGATCTAGGCAAAGAAGCAAAAAGATTAAAGACAGTTGAGTTGGCTGCTCCATTAACATTCTTTACAGAAGAGAATAACCCGTTCTGGTCAGCCTCTGAAGGGATCTCCACAGACACTCCATCCGTCTACAGAAATAGGTCTGCACAAGCAGATCAAGTTGACAGCTGTTATTAGAGATGCATTTCTTGGTTCTGGATTTTAAATGAATATACAGCCTATATGTACTAATGATAAATATATATTTGGCATCTGTCATACAACAAAGCAAATTTTTTTAAATGGAGGATTTTTTACAACTGTAAGTACTAAAAATATCTCATAGAAAAGTGATAGCTGATTTGGTAGAGACTTAACTACCTGCTCAGGTAGCAGTGATTCATTTTGTTGATCGAGCTGCCAAAGTTGCTGTTAAAATATGGCAAATTCCAAACTTAGAATCTCCCTTTTCATTCAATAAGAAATGTTTGTTCTTTTAAAAAAATATATGCTAAAATAAAAAAAGTAGATGGATTACAAAAGGGACTAGCTAAAAGAAATTTGACTGGAGTATGGGAATTACTTAACAAAATAATTCCTGTACCAAAGTTTCCAATTGTTTGATCTGTGCTGTGTGCCATCAATAGAATCACCTGAATAAAACAGACATTTTAGAGACACTAGACTCTTACAATGCATACATTGATAATTTTGATAAAATTATCAAAAACATATTTTTAAAATGTGCTTTTTGTCAATATAATTCTTTATAGGCTACTTCCAATATAAGCACAGGATGTTCTTCCTGACTTCACCAAAAACCAGGTGGCACCTGGGTTTCATAAAACCAATATTGTAAAAGGTTAAGAGATTTTGTCTAGTTATGGTGTGTATGATAAATAAAATCTTTCTTTCATCAAAAGAAAATAATTTTCAGGTGATGGTAAAGACTCATAATAAACATAATTTCTACTTGTGGGTTATTAGAGCATTTAAATCAGACAGAGGAAGCAATTTTATTTTTATCAAGTAATTATGCAAATATTTACAGATTCCTAAAGTCCTTAGTGCCCTAGAAAATACAGTGAATAAATCAAACTGTATAAAACTCATTAGCTAAGATTCTGAAATCTGCTATGTCAAGATGGTTTTCAGCTTTACCACTAACCCTGTCAAAAATTAGAGTGATTCTTACCAGTAAACACAGAATCATTTTCCTTAAATTTATGTAAGTATTAAGCCTATAAATTTAGGCCTGAGACCATATTGTATATATGATTTGATTGAATTCTGTCATAATTATGTCCAATACTTAACAAGTTTTCTTTCCTTTGAAACCTTGAGACATAGTCATAATGATCTAGAAGGACCTGGAAGAAATCTGCCATTCCTACTGACCAAGTTTTGTGTACATAGACATGTTGTATAGGAAAGACAAGTTGTCATCATACTGGGAGGGACACCTTCATATTGTTCATATTGTTGCTATGTGTATGAAAGACAAACAAAAAACAAGATGGAGTCATGCTTCCCATGGGGAGCTAGCCTCTTAAGATGACTAGACTATGGTTCCCACAAAAGAAACTTTAGTTTTTCCAGAGTTACTAATATTGGTACTGAATGTAGCTGAATGTAGGTATTTTAGCAAACTTATTAGTGTTCTCATAGATGTATTGCTGTTCTATTCAGAGTTGTTTCATTATCTCTTTAATAACCACCTTTTACTAGAAAATAAACATATCACTTATTACATTACTTTTACTTTCTGCACTCTTAGAAATAGTTCCCATAATCTCATTCCCAATGTTCCAAATTGTACTTACAGCATCAACAGGGTCTGGATTTTTAAGTTAAACTATCTGACTATTGTTAGAGTAAAAATGGATTATCTTCCTTAGTAACTTTTGATAATAAGAAAGTAAAGGTAACTAATATGCATCCAGGTACTCAAGTTCTAAATTTGACACAAAAATGTTTTGTTCACTGGTATACCTAAAGGATGAAGTAACAAAAGAGAAAACCTTAATAATGGACAAACAGAAGTTTGGTACTTATTGAGATTCACCTCCCTGGTTGCTCAGACAGTAAAGGATCCACCTGCAATGCAGGATACCTAAGTTCAATCCCTGGGTTGTAGAGGAAAATGGCAACCCACTCCAGTTTTCTTGCCTGAGAAATCCCAGGGACAGAGAAGCCTGGTTGGCTATAAGCTATTGGGTCACAAAAGTGTTGGACTTTTGTTCCTGTTATTCACAGAGATATTACATGAGCTGCCTATCATAATTGTATGACTACTGATTTAGATACAGTGCAGGAAAAAAAAAAAGTGACCCATGGGGTGTGTTTCTCGTGAAAAGCAAAGCCATACACATTAAACACTGGACTTTCAATCTCTACCTTTCCATGAGTGCCTCATACTAAGACTTTGATCCTAGATGATGTCTACAAGTGTCTTTCACATCTGAGAACAATCATGGGAAGACAGAACAATAACTAATTGGCCTAAATTGTTGTACAAAAGTTATGGTATTTCTATGATTGAGTGGAATTCCGGAGAAATATACTGGGCCTTACAAGCAAAACTCTTCATTAAAGTTTTAGATTATCAGACTTCAGTGCTAAGACATTGTTTAGGCTTACATTGGGTAAGACTTTATAAGGAACTAAGTTATTCATTTGAGCTACTAATTCATTTGAAAATGCAAGTATAAAGATGTCACAAATATTTGTAAAATTAATATATGACTAAAACTGAAACTTTTGTGTATTGATAACCAAGAATTTGATTTAACCACTTACTATTTGTATGATATGGTTAAAATTATTGCTCCAGACAAACACTGTATAGATTTTGTGAAATTTAATAAGTTTGTTATTTGATCAGAATCTGACAATTTATGTTGTATTTTACTACAGACTTGCCCATTACTTAGAGTGTGACAATTTGTCCAGAGAAAGGTGAATGCAGCAATGGAGTTAGAAATTTGTGGTGTCACTGTACTGCAGTACTAGAGGGAGGGCTGCAATGGCAAATACAAACTGAAAAAGGAAAAAAAGACAGACAATTCTCCATGTTGAAAATAAGGGAAAACTTCCATTTTCTCCTTTTTCTTAAAACATTTATTTTAGAAAACTGATCATTCAAAGTCTTATCTCCCTTTAACATGTATGTAAATGATTGTAACTGCTAAATAAGCCTCTTGCTAAATTTATGGCCCACAAGAGTCTAACTCAAGGACCTGGGAACTACTGAGTCCTTAAAATGTAATCATCAAGGAAGACAGCAGCCCTGGGAATTTAGGAGATGCGCTCTAAGTTGCAAACTGCCACATGTCATAAAGGTATGAGAACTTATTTTTCCTTTGGATAATGCAGAAGGCCATCCCAATTACCAAGTAAATTTAGGATGAACTATATGTGAAAGACGTGCCGTCAAGTCCTCTTGGTGAGGACTATGTATCGTTTATCTTGGGAACATTTATGTGATGACTGTATCTACCTGATTATATAAAAAAATTAGATTTCTTTCTCTCTTTGCAGTTTCTTGATGGATTTCCTGTGATAGGCATCACATTCTGTTTTCATATTTATTCAATAGTAAAACTGTTTTCTTTCTCTTCTATCTTTGAGGAGAGGTTTCCTGGGTAGGGAGGAGATTTTGCTTTTAATTATTTATCCCCAAATAGTGTCTTTGTTTGTTTGTTTGTTTACCTCAACAGATAGAGAATGCCTAAAAGGCAGAGTCTATATATGCCTAGTATTTATTAGATAGTCAATAAATGTAGGTTAAATCTTGTTATATTCAATGGACATTATATTAATATATGTAAGAGGAAGTGCTTTGGCTTCAAAAGCAGACTACAGTTCTTTGCCTGTAGCCTGCTCTTGTATCAGCTTTTTTTCCCTCTATCTAATAAGCCACTTTTCTGCCCTAGATGTGCTGAAATATTTTTCAGTAATTCCTCAAATTTTCACTTTTCATGGCCCTGTATTTTTACATGTTATCCCTGCTTCCCTTGCCCTCACCTCAGGAATGCCCTTCTGCAATCAAATTCTTCTACATACAGCCTACCCATCATACTAGCAGCTGTGTTTTTATGAAAGGAAGAAAAAGATAGGAGTGGGAAGCAGATTTACTTTTGAAAGGGGCATCTATGTGCACCTTTTAAATTGTATTCTATGCATGCATTAGCTATTCAAAAATAGATAAAATACTTTAAATATATTTTGATAGGAAATTTTTAATAGAATAGTTACTTCCTGCAGGAATTCTCCCTGACCCTCTGTTGGTAATGTTGTTAGCCATGTTAAAGTAGAACTCTGCTTAAGAAGCAGTCACATGGTCACTGCTTAATAAAGGATTGCTGAGTGAATGAATAAACAGGAGGCAGCTTGTGTTACCAGCTTATCAATGGCCCTTGCATCTTAAGGAAAAAAAATCTATTCCAACTGCTATGGACAAGAAGTGACAAACTCACTTCTAAGCTTTCTGACTAAAGAGAAGAGGCACGTTTTAGAAAGGAGTTAATCTGTCTTGAAATCAACAATTTCTTGTTCATAGGGCAGGTTAAAAACAACTTCTAAGCAAAAACTCCAGATGAAACAGGTCTTTCTTAACCAGAGTGATGTTCTGTTCCTGCCCATGACTGCATTGTGTTCAGTGATTCCATTTCAGTGGCTCTCTTACCACAGACACTATGAAACTAAATTAATGAGAAAAAATATTTCAAAAGTAAAATCCAATAGTAACAATGATTCAATACCATATATCTTTCAAGAGATACTTGCAGTTTATTTGCATTTTGCTTTTCACAGGTACTTACAGATGTTAAATAAAACTGCCTGCTAAAAAGTAAATGGATTATGACCATAATGCGATTATGATTATCATACAGTCTCAAACTAGAGTGTTTGTTTATTTAACGTTACTTATGCACCGATTTTTAGAACATTATGCAGTAGGTATTTATTTCCCTCTGTTTTACTGTGTCATGCAAAATGTGGGGTACTCTGGAGTGAATGGTATAAAGTCAGAGAAGGACTGTCTAATATAAACTAAGTTGAGAAAAATTACATAGGGAATAACTGTATAAAAGAAGTCTTTCTACACTAGCTAAGAAATAGCAGTGACCATAAGGACAGTGTTTTTTTAAGGTGTCTTGAGTACAGTTGTGTATTTGTTTTTCAAACTGTCTTTGCTTAATAATTAGCATATAAATGGTCCCAACTAGAATTGAAAGTTAACGTTTCATTAACCTCACTTATAATACCTAAAGGAGGCATCCATATTTAAATTCAGGAGGAAATTAGTCTAACTAAGCTCTCCTGAATATAATAATCTGAAGCAGCCACAATCACACTGAGCATTGATACAGCATCCCAAGTTCCTTTATGACATATACACACTTATACATGCACACTTAGCAGGAATGAAAAAACTAAATTACATTATTTTCTCAAAGGAAATCTTTAGTGATATCTTAAGATATTGTCTTCTAATATTGAATCAAGTATTTTCTATGAAAAAAATTCCTTCATTTATTCATTCAATTATTTGGTAATTTATTTCATCTTTAGACCTTAATTTACTCATTCTTTATTTAACAAATGCTTTAAAAAGCACTTACTTCAGGTAAAGCACAATTCTGAACCCAGTAGGAGACCCAAAGAAAAATAAGACTTGTGATCCCACATTTATGGGGTCTGCTGTCTAGCAGAGAATATAAGACTACAGACCAGAACAAGTTCAAAAGAATATGATGAGACAAGGTTATCAGTGAGGAGATGGAAGTGGGAGGGATAATATAGGGGTAAGGGATTAAGAGGTACACACTATCATGTATAAAATAAGCTATGAGGATATATTGTACAACATATGGAATATAACCAATATTTTATAATAATGACAAGTGGAGTATAACCTTTAAAAATTGAGAATATAGTACATCTATATAGTACATCTGTAACTTATATACATCAACCATACTTAAAAAAAACCACAGAAAACAAATTTAAAAATAAACAAAAAGTAATGAGTTTTAAAAATTGAGTTCGTACTATGCAACTAGCACTGTTAAGCATACTGTGATTTCATAAAACAGAAGTTTATCAAACACATAGTTCAAAGAGATTTCTACCATCCAAAAGGCAGAGTGAATAAGGGTTAAGAACAAGGTCACTCAAATCACACTGCTTAGGTTTATATCTTGGCTTGGTCGTTACTTCCACTATTAACTTAGGCAAGCCATTTGGCATCTCATTGCTTCACCTTTATGTATAAAAGGGGAATGATAAGAAGGATGTCTACCTTACAGGTTTGTTGTGAGAATTAAATTACTTAAGAAATGCCATGCACTAAGAACTGTGTCTGATATGTAGTAAATGTTGTAATAAGTATTATCTTCTTTAATTTTGATGTATCACAGAAATTTTCCAAAAGGACAGACAGTATAGCTAAAAGGCAGCAAAGCTGTAGACTTTTTTTTTCTTTTAAGTGAATTCTTATTTCTATTAGCAGGACTAATTCAGTGCTTCACAAGCACTAAATGTTTAGTGCCAACAAGTGACGATATCTGTAGCACTTTAGAACTATGATGTTTGTATTAGAAAAAGTACTGGACTGAAAGTCAAGCATACAATGTTAATTCTAGTTTTACAGTAATTGTTATATGAGTTTCAGAAAATTACAAAGATCTGAATTGTAACCTTCAATTTCCTAGTTCACAAGATAAGATGCATTGTTGTGTGCTTATGTGTAATGCGGGTGGAGTGTACTGCTATAAAAGTATTTAAATAATACAACAGGAGTTGATAGCTCATGAAATAATAGAAGACATATATTATGAAGCTTTGTGCCATGTGCTGCAATTTGTGCTTCATAAAATTTAAGAAAGCACAGAAACATCTACCAATCATAAAATAGCTGTCTTCTTGAGGTTAGAAACATTATATCCTGCTGATAATCAATAGAATACATGAATCAGTGAATTGAATTTTAGGTGAGAAACCTTTTGAGAAATCTTATTCTTGGATCAATACCATCTTTGTTTCTGTATCTGTATCTGAATTTGTCTGGAATTTGTTTTCTCACCTGCAGGTAAAAGGAAATTATTATTGCATTTTTTAGGTTCTAATTCAAGTTGATCTATTAAGGCTGTCATGAAATAGATATTTTAATTACAAACTGCATTCAAATTGAAAAAATTTTTAAATGCACAAATATAAAATTACTATAATATATCTAAACATTAAAGAAATATATAAAGCAAATGTTAAAGTATCTCAACTCCCTATCCTGCCTACCTGGCATGGCCATAACTCCCATCCCTTTGTTTTTGACCCTTCCAGGCATTATCATTATTTTAATTATGTGGTATGAAAAAGTGAAAGTTGCTCAGTCATGTCTGACTCTTTGTGACCCTATGGACTATATAGTCCATGGAATTCTCCAGACCAGCATACTGCAGTGGGTAGCCCTTCTCCAGAGGATCTTCCCAACTCAGTGATCAAATCCAGGTCTCTCACGTTGCAGGTGGATTCTTTACCAGCAGAGGCACAGGAAAGTCCGATTCTGTTCAATTTGGTTTTCTATGTATTTATGTGCATATATATATGCATGTGTGCTTTCCAGGCAGCACCAGTGGTAAAGAAACTGCCTGACAATGTAGGAGACATAAGAGACACAGGTTCAGTCCCTGGGTTGGGAAGATCCCCTGAGAAGGAAATGGCAGTCCACTCCAGTATTCTTGCCTGGAGAATCCCATGGACAGAGGAGCCTGGTGGGCTATAGTCCATAGGGTCACAAAGAGCTGGACACGACTGAAGTGACTTAGTATGAAGGCACACATGCATGTACACCTGCATGTTTTCCTTCACATAGATGGTAGTATACAACAGGTTATATTCTATGATTGAAAAAAAAAATAACATTTTGAACTTCTGGTTTCTTATTCTGCATATAAGAAATGCAGAAAATGTTGCTCTATCCTAACAACAAATAAAGCTGAACAGACTGAAAAATCAACAATGCTTCTCAGATC